CTGTCTCTTTCTTGGTATTTCTTGGTGCAGCTGCTTTATTTAGCGCTAAAATTTCATCTTTCGAAACTGTCGCGAAACGAGAAGCCATTTTGAATCCCGTCCCAAAAAAGTCAGTATCCAAGGATATTCCAAATTTCGGGAGCCAATCAGAACGCGCGAAAATTGCTATCCACTGAATTGTAAATACTAAAGGTTTTTAACAATAGAAATTAGCCAAATACAATTTATTTTAGTGCCGGCCCGCGTCCGCTTAATAGAGGTTTTCGCTGAATAGGGGTAAGTTATAAAGGGAAACATAAGACGTTAATTTCGAGACCCGGCTTAGTGTCCGCTTAATTGGGGGTCCTCCATGTAGAAGTTAGCTATGACTGCGGAAACTGGGCTTCCAATAGCAGCGCTATCTTGATGTTCATAAATTGCGCGCGCGCTCGCTCCATCATACTGAAAGTATGTGGACCTTAAAACAAAGTTTAAAAGGTCAGCAATCTGTGCAGGTGTTAATGTTGTGCTATTGGAGAGGCTTGGGTTACTCTCTTAATCTTAAGTACATATAATCACACTGACATGTACTCCGACTGGTTTTAAATTAAATACTTACATTGAGAATACTTTCTTCTTTAAATTTGTTAGGGGGTGTAGTTAACGTCAATGGAAGAAAACTTTGCCCGCGTATTATCCTTATGACTGACGGAAAGCCAACGAATGAAAAGGGGAACGAAACACCGCAAGTAAGAAAGAAAACAAAGCAAAACCTCCCTGTTATTTTCCACTCCTTTTACAATCTGGCGAAACATTGCTCATGGTCTGCGTAGCTGGCGGTTTTGTTGGGGAGGGGCAATAGGAGGCGTGGGGTGGGGTCGGGGAGAACAAGCGAGCAGCGAAGATCAGAGGAGAAAGGGCTAGCTTCCTCTCACACCAAAAACTTATAGCCTACAAAACGGACAGAACGCAGCCCTGGCTAAGTCCATCAGTGAAACAGCGCCGAAATACGTCTTCTGGGCTCCTACCTGTTCACAAGGATTTAAGTACGCGCTATAATTAGCCTGTTAAAGAGCCATTGTGGATTTCCCAATCAGGTGGAAGGGAAATTCGAAACGCACTTCTGGTGATTCGTTGTGTCAGTTACATACATGCATATTAAATACATACTTTATTGTTACCTCCCCTAAGGGGGTTTTCAGTTACACGGGCTACGTATACATTGCCGAAGAAGTAAATAATTTTACTTTTCACATTTGGTTACCAATATAACTGATCTGCGCGCCTACCGTTTACACCTGAAAATAAAAATAAAACTTCTGATCGTAATCAGAAAATATTTTGTTACGGTGGTTCTTGACGTTGGATTAGAGATGACGGCTGTTTAGAATCATAATCATAAAGCGTTAGTGCAAGACGTTTACATGTTTTGCGCAGACACTTTTCGTTGTGGTTGAAAGTAAGTTAGTTAATCCTTTAATTTCTTCGTTAAACTAACCTCGTCCTCCTTCCAGTCCGAGAAAAAAAGTCTTGGCTTTCGAAACTTAGAAGACCATTGAGCTGTTGTTATTTTTAATTATTAGATGGAATATTTTCCCGGACGCACGATTGTTCAAATGCTGAATGCTTGCCGACAAACCTCAATTATAAGTTAACATAGATTATTTTTGGTTGTTTATAACTTTGAAATATGTATAATGACGCCAGTTTAAATAACGGTTGATCCTTTTTGCAATTAATCTCCTTTGTTAAGGCCTTGAATGAAGTGTTGGTGGCTGCAGTACTTTTTGGAGCTCGCTGGCAAGAGGTGGGCCTTCCGCATAAGATTCCGATTGCTTGTGTTGGATGTGGGAATGCAGATAAGGTAATGCATTTTTTCGTATAAATTAAGTTAAATTTTTGATCAATGGTACTTACTAGGGAGCTTTACTAGGATTCTAAGGCGAGGTCGACTTTACTCAATACTAAGTAGTAGTTAGTACGCGCGCGTGAATAGCCGTCGTCATTCTATTACGAAATCTAGCGAAAATATTGTAGTGACAAAAACAAGTTATCAAATGCTAGAAGTTGTTTTTTTTATTGCGATCGGGAGAGGGCTTGCCCTCCTTCGTAATAAAGATAGTTAGGGCTTTCAACAAGTTGCTCGAGATTTTTCAAAAAGTTTTTCCCGTAATTTCAATTCTCAAAAAGTTGCTCCAAAAACAATCAAAAGTTGCTTTTTGTAACGAAAATTGCTCAAAAGTTGCTCGAATAAAACAGAACCTGTTTTGGTCTGATGCTAAATTATGCAAATTGTACAACAATAGTAAGATTTCTAGGCATTAATGTGCATTTCAATTTTTGCAGCGTAACCAGCATTGCTAAAAAACTTTGTCATCAATAAAAATCAAAAAATGTAATGAGCCAATAAAATTGTTGAATGACCTTCTTCACCCCAGACACGCAAGTCAGTCGAGTGTGAATCTTCGTCCACCATTTTAAATTTTCTCTAAAAACCGCTGACCGAGCAGCCCGGCATACATACACACAAGGTGTGTTATTTTTATTTCTATTTTTGTCAAAAATGGAATTAAGGACGTATTTTCTTTATTTTCATACATTCTCTCATACTGTAAATTCAAAATCTAACGAACTCACAGAGCTTGGGCTGCCTATGATAAAACACGTATTTAAACAAGCTATGGCGTCACGCTTGATTTCCAATCTTTGCACCAATTGAATTCGAAACATAGTGGTCCAGTTTCGTTTTTTAAGACAATATATCGGCATTTTTTAAAACCGTTTTATGCTGTCTGACGTGGGAGCCGATGGCTAGGATGGATATGGATTGAACCTTTAAACGTTTGGCCAACCTTTTCAAGTTTCAGTGCTAAGTCAGCAAAAATGGCCAAAAAATATTGTGGTTTGTGTTCCCTGATTGAATTTGCTCGATGTCGCATTCATAACTCCACGGGAGCTTTTTGTGTATGAGCTAATCCACTAATAATTAATGAATTAGTATGGGTAATAGCATGATTAGTAGTGATATTTGGCATAAATACCACGAGTGATATTTCAAAATTGTTATACGTAATTTCACGAGCCGTTGGGCGAGTGAAATTTGAGACAATTTTGAAATATCACGAGTGGTATTTATGGTAAATATCACGTACAAATCATGCTATTATTTGTTTATACTACTACCTGCAAAAGGTTGTAATTTTCACATGTAGGTATAATTTCAAATTAAGCTGAAATACCACTGCTCTAAGCCGATCAAATTGCAGAAATTTCTCATTTAGTAGTATAAAGTTTAGAATTTCATGACTTAAGGCAGCAACATCGTCGTAACATAGCCCCTTGAACACAACTCATCTTAAGGAAGTACTCTGCTACCATGTCTCATAATTTGTTTTACAACATAGCTAAAAAATTCGCCTAATCAAGTTCCGTGCTACATATTCCCGTTGAGCACGCTGATGACGTCAATAAACTATTCCTCGAGTTGTTGTGAGCTTAGCAATCCTCCCTAGACATCAGTCGATCCCAAGTGCATCCATAACTTAACAGTACACGATGAAGCGTTTACTGTGTGTTTATCAGCTAATTTAAGAGAGACGTTTGAATTTGCTGACCGATAGAAGAGAAAATAGGCGAGTGTTGTTGTTGTTGTCATCTCCGCGAGCGGTGCGGGCCATGGTGTGTGCAAATCATTCTTTGCAAAGTTGTTTCTCTCAAAAATAGTCTTTCGGTGAATTAGTAGTTTTCCGGTGCCTCAAGACGGATTTTTACAATCCGGCTTTTTTAGGGCAAACTTTCCGTCAGTTTTCTTCTTAAAAAATAACTGTCAGGTAAAAAAAAATATAGGCGTGTACTTCTTTGAGCGTGAGCTAAAATTTTAGGTTAACTGCTGCATTGATCGCGTTCAGAAACTCATAAGTGGTTGAAACGTGTAACTCGCATATGTTTGCTTTATACGACGCTCTTGATTATTCATTTTCGAAAGTACCATATTTGGAACGAGAATAAAAGATAACTGACCAATCAAACTTCGTAAACGACGTGACGTAATCTTACTTCACGTTCCCGCGCCTGCTTAAAAAAATGGCCGACAAACGGGGGAAAAACTCCCGAAAATAAACAGTAAAACATATTTTCCAATAAGATTTATTAGCTGCGTATCGAAAAGTGTCCTGGAACCTGAAAGTAAAAAAAATCGCCGATACGATGCGTGATGCGTGTCATGTGAGAAGCATAAGCCTAAATTCAACTTGGATGCTGTAGTATCACGATCGTGTTTGAAGCTAATTTGGTAAATGAACAAACTCAAAACAATAGACAGAGAAGCCGTTTCTTGAACACTTTATTAAAAATCCAAAACGTTAACCCTTTAAAGCAATTTGCGTAACACTACCTGGATCGTGGAACCGTTCACGCAAGTAAAATCGGCTGAGCACATGGAAAAATTCCACACTGAAATCCATCTCAAATCGGGGCGCATTTTGTAATTTTTCTTTAGCGCCGAATAAAAAATGTATAAAAAATCTATGAAACATTTATAAATACATAAATTCCATTTCAAAAACGTAATTTCCTTGGCCATAGAGTGCAAAATTTACCTGAAAATTCAGCAAAAACTTCGCTGCCTGGGGTGCATTTCAAAACAGACCATGCGCTCCCGCCGTGAAAAAAAACAAGGTTGAATTCCTCGAAGGACGAGTTCTTGATGAAAAGCTTCCCTTCTTCCACAAAAAGTAAACTGAGCATTTTTTGTCTTTTAACGGTGTATTTTTAACCTTGAAATGTAGAACTCTGGTCATAAACCACCGCTTGGTGATCGAGCGGAAGCAATTTTGTTGAAAATGGATATCCTTCACTACGGTTTCCATTATGGTAAAAGTGAATATTCACGAGCATTGAACGCGAGTTACACGTTTCAACCCTTATGTTTCTGTCGCTTTGATAATGTTATAAAAACCGGGGGGGTACTTGGGTTAATTTTTGCTGGGTATGTGCTGCTGGCCTCTCAGAGCCCCTACCCCATACTTGGTTTGAATGAAACTAGATTGGATAATACTATTCCCGATAGCCAGATTGATATTGAGGGATACGATATACTTCGCCGTGATAGGAATAGAAACGGCGGGGGAGTAGCTTTTTATGTAGACTGCAAAACAGTCGGGTTTTTTCTCAAAATCAGTAAAGAAATCGGAAAAGCGTGGCGTAAGAGTCTTGCGCGCGCGAAGCGGGCGAGCCTCACACGCCGAGAGAAAAAAAACCGACTGTCCGTTTTCCATACAATGAGTTCGTTCCGACCAGGGGGTACAAAAATGTCGTCGAGCTGTCGAAAATCTGTTTGCAACTCCGCCCTCTTTGTGAATTTGATACACTCGCGTGTTATTATAGCGCGTGTGGCTTCGAATCTTGACGCTGTGATCCAGTAATTCTAAAGCAGTTTTTAGCGTTGCTTCTCTGTGAAATGTAGTGTATATAGTGAAATGTAGTATATATAGTGGAGGATCAAAATTGAGTGCCTGCTCCTCGAAGAGGGAGAAAGCCGAAAGAGCCGAGGGCTTCGGACAAATTGTAGAATGCGCGGCTGTTGTTTCAAAACACAGTTCGGCAGGAGGCACTTTGGAGAAATAAAACAACCTAAAACCCTTAATCGGCCGCAATGAAGAGCTTTACATTTCTAAAGGGGCCAAGAAAGAATATGCTCTTGCACCAGGGGGCAAATCATGCCGACCAGAGAAAATCTATATGCGTATCACGACCTCTGAGTATGAAATATATTTAATTAGCGGCCAAAATTCACATTTGCTCAGTCAAAACGTTTTCCTCCAAAGCATAGTCTACTCGACAGAGAAAACAATTCATTGGAACAAGCGGCATGTTTGCATGAGGCGAGATAACAATGACGGTCGGCCGTTACACAGAACTTGAAGAACTCTTTGCATGAACAAACATCTGATAAATAAGGCTTTTGTCAAATCCTCTTGGTAGAACAAAGAAAATATCCTTTCCCCTGAGTAGCAACTCCAAAGCTTCCCTCTGCTCCATTTTAAAACAAATCCCAATTCTTGCGAGCAAATCCAGGCGATCAACATTCGTCATTTTACAGCGAAAGCTTTAGCAATTCATCACGGTAGGGAACAACGCGAATGACTTGTTGAAAACATTACATGACAGCTTGGTGACAGCTTGCATCGAAATTTAGCCAATGGGAATTGCCCGTGTCTGGGAGAAGCGGGTAATTCGAACGAATATAACGTATGCAAAACGGACAGTCCGTATTTTTAGCGTCTCTCCCCAGTCTCGCTCTCTGTTTTCAGCGTCATTCCAGACCTTTTGTTTGACTGCTCGCGCGTACTTGAATACGCAAAAATACGGACTGTTTTGCAGTCTACTTTTTATGTTGCACTATCCTTGACTTACGTTAACAGACAAGATCTCTTATCTCACGCAGATTTAGAAATTTTGACGGTTGAAATTAAAAAACCAAAGTCCAAGCCTTTCTTGGTGACAACTTGGTATAGACCTCCAGATTCGAAGATCGAAATTTTTGACAAATTTGAATCGTACCTACTAAAACTTGATCAAGAAAATGAGAAAGCGCGACTTTTTAAAAAATCAAGCAGTTAAGCAGAATTCTCATCAAGCGTGGAACGAATATAAAAAGGCAAGAAATGAAGTAAATGCTAGTATTAGGGAAGCCAGGGCTACTTTCTTTAATGATAGCATTAAGAAGCATAGTGGTAAGTTGAAGGAAACCTAGAATGTAATAAATAGTTCCCTGGGCCGCAAGCCTAAAATGACAGTTATAAATGAACTCGTTTATGAGGGCAAAGATTTTGTACAAAAGCAAGATATAGCTGAACAAATGAATAACCACTTTTGTTCGCTAGGTAGTAAACTGGCATCTGGTATTCCTGATACTGCTTCTCAACCAGAGGATTTTTTGGGTAGAACCGATTTAAATTTTTGTTTTCGCCCAGTAAACGTAGGATACATTCTCAATCTTATTTCCAATCTTAAACCCTCAGTAAG